TTCCCATGCTGCCCCCCTCCTGGACAGTTCGCCCCCTCCCTCCCCCCCGCCCATGATCAAGTGTGTCTGGTTTTTTGACGGGGTCTACCTGGCAACCCTCGTGTTTCCTTTTATTCCCCCTATATTTTCTCTTCAGAGGTATCCCAAAATAACTATTCTGTGTCTTTTGAACCAGCCCATTATTTTGAAATAGATTTTGAAATAATGGGCTTGCTATTCCGAAGTCCCTGTAACCCACATCCCACGAGGGTTAAGGGACATTTCAGAATAGTGGTTTATTTCAAAATTAGATCAAAATAAACACAATTTGCATAGCTCAAAATACGTATCTTATTTTGACTTACAGGTGCAGTGTAGCTGCAACCTATGGGGCCCTGTATCTGCTCCCACAGATGTTATGAATTTTGCTATTGATTTAAATGCAAGTTCAGTATACGGGGCTGAGTGCTCTCCTGTTCCTTTATAATGAAAATATTCATAAGTGATCAGTGCCTAAAAGGATCATGTCTCTAATCCAGACACCTAAGAATGTAAAATAGCCTGAGGGTTTGTCTGGCTCATAATGCCATTATGATATTTTGTCTTAATATCTCTCCCTTACCTAATGGTTTCTAACATTAACTTTTTTTAAACTGATGCTACACATTGAGAGAGAGATTAAGAAAATTATCCATGACACCAAGATTTTTCTTGATGAGTAACAGCTAATTTAGACCCCATCATTTTGTATTTACAACTGAGATTGTTTTCCAATATGCATGACTTTACACTTATGGACATTAAATTTTATTTGCCATTTTGTTGTCCCATCACCCAGTGTCTGCAAAATAGTTACAAAGGGATCTCACAATCTACTTTGGATGTTGCATTTTAAGTAATTTTGTATAATCTGCAAATGTTACCACCTCAGTGTTCACCCCTATTTTCCAGATAATTTGTAAATACATTGAATACCTATAACCACTTTTTAAAAGTCCTTAGCCCCTTTTCCAATAATGTTATATACACAACTGTTAACTCTTCACTTTTTGGACTTCTTATTTTATCACCTCAGTGAAACATAGATTAATAGGAAATTCTAAGATTATGTGAAAAAACATAATATGAGGGGGAAATAAAGCACATTAAAGCGAGACAAATAATCTTAAGGACTTTTTATTAAGTGCCTCCACTAATGTAAAACTTAGTTGTGTTAGTCATATCAGATTTCTTTGGGCTTCTTTGTTGATGCAGTGTCTTTCTTTTTGCATTAACACACAAAGTGTGGGGGAGAAGGGGTATCTTTTACTGAATCAACTGTTCTCTCAGAGGGTTGCCAGACATCTGGTTTTCAACCAGAATGTCCCATCAAAAAGGGACCCTTGCAGCTCCACTCAGCTCAACTGACCTGGCTTTCTAAAAGCTGGTGGATTAGTAACTGCACGACTAGGGTGTTCTGTTCGGTTTTTGCAATCAGAAAGTTGGCAACCAGGCCCACCCATGGGGAGAGGCAAAGGAGGCAATTTCCCGTGAAATGGGAGTTCGGAATAGGAAGCCTAATCTGACCTACCTAGTCCGTGCCGCGTGTAGGTGCACGGCACGGAGTTCGCACTAGCGGACATTTAAAAATAGCGGCGCCCGGCGAGATGCAAATGAAGTCCGGGAAATTCAATCCCGGGCTTCATTTGCAACTACGGTTGCCTACATTACCACCCTAGTTCGAACTAGGGTGGTAGTGTAGACATACCTATAGAGACAATGGAGAGTAGGGTGAGTCTATGACTGGTTAATAACTGGTCAAGGTGACTAACTATTATCAGCCAGTGGTCTGAATGAGTTATCTACTGTCATCTGTTAATCAAACTGTAAGAAAAGGCTTCAGGAGCAGACCTTATTTATATAGACAACCTACTTTGCCACAGAGATCAGTAGACACACTTGGTGTGTCAAGGTGATCAATTTTGGCTCTTTTGGGTTGAAATTCACTAAAGACTTGGAGCTGGGAGAATTAAATGTTATCTGTATTTTATGATTAAAAGGTTAAAGACCTGAACTTAATATGACCTGGCTTAGGGTCTACCATAACTTGAACACTAAGCAGAGAATAGCAAGTCACGTCTAACTGAAAGTCACAGAAGATGGAAACAGGTTTTATTTCTCGTGGTGTAGAGTCCATTTGGGAGTCCTCAATGATATCTGAAACAAAAAACAGGACTGTGTAGCACTTTAAGGACTAACAAGATGGTTTAATAGGTGATGAGCTTTCGTGAGCCATATCCACTTCCTCAGTGGATCTGGCCCACAAAAGCTCATCACCTATTAAACCATCTTGTTAGTCTTTAAAGTGCTACACAGTCCTGTTTTTTGTTTCAGCTGCACCAGTGTAACACAGCTACATTTCTACCTCAATTATATCTGACACTTTACATGCAGTGTTTAAAGTCAGAGATGACTAGAATCAGTTGAGAGTCCTTGTCTTGTCTCAGTGATTGCTTGAGCAAAAATCATTGCTAAAATCTTGTGTAGACTGACCTTGGACTCAACATGCAGGCAGTGTGTTGAAAGGCATTGCAAAGGAGGCAATGGTGGTGAGGTACCATATTACCTAGTGAAATCAGTGGTGCTGAAATCACTAAGGACTGGAATTTGACCACAGAACTGACACTTTCTTAACAAAGACTCCATTTTTGCTATTTAAAAAGTAAATCAATGTAACAGAAAACTGCAATGCTCTCTGGTAA